GGTGTAGGGTTGAGAAAAGCCTCCAGGGTCATGATTAAGCAGCCAGAGAATCCGGGGAGCTTGGGGAAAGGAATGCACAGGATGTAGGGGTGCAACGTGCAAAGCAGAAGGAAATATTTGTGCATTCCCAGTCTGCATTCATTTATTTCAAGAGCCGAGACTGAAAGACAAAACTGGGTGATTCCAAGCAGAAGATGAATCAGATCAGCACCCTCCCCCCTCCCCTTAAGTTTCTCCACCTTTCTCAACTTTTTGATCTTTTCTTCGCTCTACACATCCTACACAGAAACGACTAAGCAAATAAATCGGGTAAAGAGAACTCACTTGGGTAAGAAGTGAGTCATAAATCCTGATTCCTTATCCTGAGTACAGAGATGGGGCGCAGAGTTAAAGGGAGGGCGGGAGCTGGGAGAGGTCACGGCACAGACATAGGTACACGCACTTCAGCCACCGACAGAGATGCAAGCACACCGGAAGACATACGTTATTACGTATGTGCCTCTAACAGGAATATAGGTTCTAACAGATCAAGAGGCACACACACACACATACTCACACATGGAAATTAGGGCAATGGTGAGGGACAAACCTTGGAGAGATGACTCCTCAGAAGTGGCTTTTAGAATTCTCTTGGTACATTCCCTGGACTAAGTAAAGTTTCCAGGATGCTTCTCCTCAGCTTCCCTGCCACCACTCTGATCTCTACACAAGCTGACAGATGTCAGGGAGTTAGAAGGCAGAGGGGAAGGCTGGACAAGCCAGCTAGGGGAGAGGCAATAGTGCTCTGAACTTCATCTTCACTCTTCTCTCTTCTTCTTGCTCCAGTTTCTGTCCCTATTCCCCCTGCTCTCTGTAGCTTCTCTTCTTTTTTTACCTGCGAAGCCATCTCTTCTAGTTTCTTAGGTTTATTTGTTACCTTGATTCTCTGGTCCCTCTCCTGCTCCCTCTTGAGATGGCAGTAACCTCACACCTCAGGAGAACATCTGGGCGCCTTGACGGTGCTTGTACATCACTCACTTTCTTCCTGAGCCAGCTAGAGAAACAGTCTCTGACAGGAAGTCTGGTATAAACTGTCTCTTTCCCCATTCTCCTTCCCCTCTTCTTCATCCCCGACAAAATAAGAAACCATCCACTTCATAAAAGCAACATACACTTTAATTCAGGTTGACGGGAGGAGTGAGAGCTAGGATTTGCCTCCAAGGGTGTCCACATGAGAAGACTGTCTTGCATGGAGGGGCAGGGAGGAAAAGGAAGTGTGGGAGGTCCGGTGGCAGAACAAGGCCAGGAGCAGGGGCATAGCCACACAGTGAAAGATGGCCAGGGCTTCTGCCAGTTGCAGTACCAGGTCCAGGATCTGCTGGGCTAAACATGTTTGCAAGGGCAAGACACCAGACCTCACCAGGGAGTCCAATCCCAGAACCACCCCATGAAGCCACCAAAAAGTGAACCATACCCATAGGATATCAACCCAGGGTCCTGGACCCCTGTCCAATGTCTTTTTCAGCCCCTTGGCTCCCACCAAACCCAGTGGCAACAAGAAGAAGACAGCAAAACAGACGGCAGCATGCATGTACTGCAAAGTTCCCAGCCCCCTGCTGGATGTCAGTGTGCAGAGTCCTTGGGAAGTGTCACTGGCCAGAGTGATTGGCAGTGCCAACAGGGCAGCCATTCCCCAAACGCCCACCGTGAGCCCCAAGGTGAGGCGTGAGACCTGGAATACATCCAGCTTGGGGCCCAGGCAGGCCCGGCACCCTATCAGCAGAGCCTGGGCAAAGGCTGCGCTATACCAGACCCAGTGGCCCAGGCAGCACAGGGTGGTACTGTGGGAGCTGCTGAGCCCCGGTGCCAGGATGGGCACCACTACACTGAAGGCAGCACTGCCCACAGGCAACTGTATCAAGATAGGCCGGCCACGGCAGAGTTCCCAGTGGAAGAGGGGTTTGAGAAGTGCCAGGAGGACAGTCCCGCTAGCTAGGGTCCCCAGGACGCTGGCCACGATGAAGAAGGGCAGTGAGGAGTCGTCGAGCAGGTTACAGGAGTGGCAGGGGGCAGCGGCTTCAATGCTGGGGTCGTTGTAGTCCAGTGGTTCATAAGGCATATCCCACTCTTCCCAAGAGTAGTTTTCAAGGTTCAGCTTAGTCCAGTTATTACTGACGGAGGGGGAGGGCTGCACCTGGAGGACATACCCAGAGGGGCAGTCAGAGCATCCGG